CCCATGGGACAATTTGGTGGCAGTAGGCAGTTGTTCACCCTACAGACCCTCTTCTTGCCATATTTTAGCTCCGTGGCTCATTGCAGATGAGGAGGAGAGCACAGAGCAGACATTATCCCCCTCCAGAATGAGCCATTCTTGCAGCTCTCCGCGCCCGCAGCTCGCTGGCCCCTGCCCCGCGCGGCCCTTGGTGCGCATTGTGCTCCCCCACTGACTTCTTTGGGGCTGTTCAGAGGGGAAAAAAAAGACTCTCGCTCTCCGCCAAGTGCCTCCGTCCCATTACTCAGTGACTACAGGACACGCACACAAACATCTGACACTGCAGGGGTCAGACACGAGGGTTACAAAAAAAGCGTTGGGGGTTTGGGGGAAATGGGAGCCTGGTGAGCTTTAGTCAATCCTGCGACTTTCTGGAGATGTAACTCCAGGATTTCAGGGCTACAGGCTCAGCACGTCCTCAGTCCCAAACAAGAGGGTTCAGGGGTCATGGCCATCAAAAGCTGCCCCCGTGGGACCTGGAGGTACACGGTGAGGCTGGCAGGAGGCGCCGTGCCCGTGCGCTCGCACACATCTGGCCCCAAACAAGGAGGGAACCAGCTCCACTCAGACCCAAGGGCTCAGCAGTGCCCCAGCAACCAAAGGATGAGGAATAACTCATCATCAGGCCATCATCCTGCCCCATAGAGCCCAAATTTGGGGTGAGACGAGCCGGGGAATCAACGCCTCCTGAAGCTACCCAGCCGACAGCCACGCACCGTGCACAGCCCCGGCACCCAGAGCTCCGGTCTCGGTGCTGGCAGCCGAGCAGCAACCAGAGGGGGCTTCAGCTGGAGAGGGGCTGTGACAGGCAGCCCCCCTCCCTCCCTCCTTATCCTCTCCTGGGAATCCCAGTGCTCACACCGAGACATCTGCTCCCCGCGGCACCAAGGAGCCCCTTTGGGGACCCCCGACCCCTGTTGAGTGCCACGAACTCCGTCCTGCACGGCTCTGCTGCGAGCCTCCTGCCTCTCCGGCGCTGCTGGCAGCTCCCCGGGGTGCTGCTTCTCCCCGCAGTCAAGTCAAGACACCTTCCTTCAGCAGCACCAGCCCCACCTCCTCTTCCTTCAGCAGCGGCCCCGCAGGGCGAGCGCTCGACAAGGTGAGGTGCGGGAGCAGCCGGGGCAAAAAAAATTTAAAAATAAAATAAAAAACAGAACACAAAGGGAACAAAAGGGTTGGGGGGAGAAAAACCAAGAGAGGCAGGCGGGGAGAGCACCCCCAGGGTCCTGCTGGAAGGCGGCAGTCGGGGCATTTTCACAGTTAGGTCTTTGGGGGAAGAATGGCTGGAGCCTAGCCCCTCTCCCGAAGCAGATGGTAATTTGAGTTAATTAGCAGGGCTGTTGTAGTCAGGGCTCGCAGAGCCAGGCCACAGCATTCACAAGCAACAGCAGAGTCCACCAGCTTTCTCCCCACCCTCATCCTCCCTAATGAATGGCCGCGAAGGCACCAAAGACGGAGCGAGTACCTGTAGGGCATCCCATTCATCACCACGCACAATTAAGACCTTGTTACTGGTGACTCACTGGCTACAGCGAGGATGGGGGAAGAAAAAGGGAGAGAGAAAAAGAAATCAGGCTGGAGCCCGGACCCAGAAGGTCCCTTCCCCGTGGCAGCCCTGCTCGCTCTTTCACCACGGAGCGCATAAAACGCTGGATTAAGGCTGGTTTACAAGGCTCCTGGCAGCTGTGGGAAGGTGCGGCGAGAACAGCGAGGACTTTATTTAGGCAGAACCTCGCAGGAGGAGGTTTGAAGTGCGGGGCAAACCCAGGAGTAAAAGCATTTTCCATGGGGGTCTGTCACAGCAGGGAACGGGACCACCTGCACGGGCACGCGTGGTGCCGGGAAGGTGCTTTAGGAGCGCAAACCTTGGGTTTGTGGGGTGCCCAGGGAGGTGAGCAGAGCCCTAAGAAGAGAGGGGACGCTTGGATCAGAGCAGGAGAGGTCACCAGGAGACCTCGGCAGCCCTTTCTGCAGGAGCCAGTCTGTGTCCCCCAGCCCTTTCCCCCCAAAACGTGGGCTCCATTGTTCGGCACAGGATCCACATCCTCCCCAGCGCTTCCTATAGCGCGTATAGAACCTGCATCTGTCCTATAAATAGGAGCTCCCTCCAGAAATATCAGGTCAAAGCAGAACGAGGCACGGCACAGGGCTCAGGAGCGGGGAAGGACAATGCCAGCAGCGGGCTGCAAATAGGCTGAGCGGAGCAAAAAATAAATAAAAGGTCCGGGGACACAGCAAGGAGCAAAGCCCTCGTTCCCAACCCAAATCCGTCCCTGGGCTGAAGGGGCACATCAGCATCACTTTGGGGAAGAGGAGACTGAGAAAACTCCTAATTGTGACCCCCCTCCAGGTAGCACGGAGCGGCTGGTAGCTATTTCAGGGTGTTCCTCTCCCATTAGCCTCCCGTTTCCAACGCGCTCCCTCTTCAGATATCAAAGGCCCCGGCGGGGAGGGTTTCGGGTTTAGCTGGGAAGAACAATGCAGGGCTGCAGCACGCAGCCACCCGCGGACCACCCAGCACCAGCAACGCTTCTGGGGGTGGGCTCGGGGCAACTCCTCCCGCACACTTGGCCCTCGTGCTTCCCGTGCAGATAAGGAGCCCGTCGGGAGATAAGGGTGGCATTCGGAGGCGCCTTGGGGCGTAAGGAGCAGCGAGCAGGGGGCTGGAGGGGGAGGCACACACGGGTTTTCTCGCCGGCTTCTGCGCCTTGACTCGTTCTGGCTCAGCAAGGAACCGGGGTCAAGGAAGAAGCCAGCGGCCAGGTTTAATGCCAAAAGCGCCCCCTTTTGGGGTCAAGGTGCTGGGGAAGAAGTGGAGCCAGCTGTCAGCCCTCGGATCCACAGCAATCCCCAGTGTTTGGGGAGATTTTAGAATAAAAACGGGGTTTTGCTGCTGCAGAACTACTCCTGTACCAGTCACAGGTGCCATGCAGCTAGAAGAGATTTTGATTTGTCCCTTTTCAGGTCCTTATGACACCTCAGACCCCGTTTTTTTCCAAACCCTCTACGCACACCATATAAACTCCCTGGAGAGGAGCAGAAGGCAGTACGGAAGGCGCAGTAAATGCCACTGGGATGGGATGGGCGCTGCCACGGATGACAGGAGATAAGGCTCTCTCCTCCTTTCAGTTTCTTTTTAAGGACTGGAAAGAAACCCCAGAGGCAGCTTTTGGCCTTCAGGAGCTGCCACAACCCCATTCAGCAGAAGAAGGGCCCTACGGTTAACCCTGGAGTAAGTGGCACAAACCTCCGCAGCATCACTTGGGACAGCTTGGGGAAAGATGAGCAGGAAAATACCCTCCTGAGCCGAGCAATGCCACTTGGGTTTCAAATAAAGCCCCCCATGTACCAGGTTCCTCACCCCACAGTGCTCCCACTTGTATCCGACGGCACCCTCCTAAAGGCAGGGCTGCTGAGCAAGCAGCTTTACCACCCCAGGAGCAGGGACAAGATATTTTTTCCCAACTCCAAGCCTGCCTGAATGAAATGTGGATTTTATACTAGCTAGGAAGAAAAAAAAAAAAAAAACGCTTTTTGAGATGAGCACCTCCTGCCTCGCACCACAGCCCTGCCCCAGCATCAGGCGGCTCGCGCCCAGCCATATGTGCCCCAAGCTGCCACAGGACGCCACCGGCTGCTCGCAGCAGCTTATTAGTTTTCCACGTAGCACCCAGGATGTGCCAGACACGCCGCAAACATACGGTCCCTGCACCAGCCCGGAGGGGCTGTGATCTAATTTACGCGAGCAGGGTACAGATTGTACCCTCTGGTACCGTGAGGGGCAGAGTCGGGGAAGCAGGCGAGGAGCAGCAGGCACCAGCTGGATAGACAGGGGGTTTTCAACTAGTTTATAGGGCCAGGAGGTCCTCCAGAAGTGAGGACAACCCCACGGTTGCAATTAAGGCCGGGCAGACCTTGCCCACCAGCACGCTGCTGGGCATCGCCCCAGGCCCCCCGTGGCACCGGCACCCATCGGGGACCTCGGCGTGCTTTAGGATGGGGAAAAAGGGATTGGGAGAAGAGGTGAGCGAGGCAGCAGCAAGTCCTCGCAGGCAGGATTCCTGCCCTGGGAAGGGTTAAGGCAGCCAGCACGTTTTCTGACAACCAGGCGGATGGTATTTCAGGTTGCTCAGTACTTCACCGTCTCGCAGCTCAGGGGGGGGAAAAACCGTAGCCAGAGGCCAGATTCAGAGTTAAACAATAGCTCGAGCTAGAGGAACTCAAGATGCTGTTAAAGTAAACAGGGAGCTGCGTCTGCAGCCAGCCAGCGGCTCCGAGCACCTTCCAGGGCACCCGGAGCCCTCCCGAAGCTGAAAGTTGGGAATCGGCTCCGCACCGCGCAAAGCAGGGAAATGCCCATAAAAAGCAACCTCCAGAGATTCCCCTCGAAGCAGCCGGTGGAGCAGCGACGGGGCGAGCCTCCGCAGTCTAAAAATACCTAATTACCCACCAAAGCCTCCCATTTCGACAATAAAAACCACATGTGCCAGCGGGCGGCGGGGCGCAAAGTTTCCCTTGCGCCCAAGCTGGGGCGCGCCCCCCGGGCCCCTAGAAGCCCCCCCCGGCCCTCTCACCTTGCAGGAATAGGTGTGGTGCACCGGGTCCACGTTCATGATCTCCTCCACCGTGCCCGTGAGCACCACGTTGGCCTCCTCCTCCCTGCGCTCCAGCTCCCGCTCGGGGCAGCTCGCCCCGCCGCCGCCCAGCGCCAGCCCCAGCGCCAGCAGCGCCAGGGCTCCGGCCGCCCCTCGCCCCCCCATTAGCCCCCCAGCCCCCTGCCCCCGGCACGGCCAGACAAAGCGGGGCCGCTCGCAGGCAGGGCTGGAGCAAGAAAAAGGGGGTTACTTTTGTTCCAGGAGGTGAAAAGGAGGAAAGAAAGAGAGGGAGGGAGGCGGGGAGGGGGAAGGAGGAAAATCCCAAGAGGAGAAGGAGGAGGAGGAGGAGGAGGAGGAGAAGGAGGAGGAGATATCTCTCTCTCGCTCTCTCTTTCCCCAAAGCCGCGGCCGGGGAGAAATGCTCTGTCCCCTGCCTTGCCCCTGTAAGAAAGCCTGGAGATTTGCATGCAATCTGAATTGCTGATAAGGGGGGAGAGGGAACGAGGGGGGGGGAAGGGAGGGAGGGAGGGAGCCGCCGGGAGCGCGGAGCCGCCGGGAGCGCGCCACCCCCAGGCAAGGGAGCTGCCGGCAGGTTAATGGATAATCGGCACGGCGACGTGAGGAGACTTTTAAAGGTGCAGGGAGCCCGGCACGCAGCCTGCCGCCCCCCCGGCACAGCCCCCCCGGCGGCGTCCCCCTCCTCTGGGCAGCCGCGCTGGGGCGCGCAGGGCTGGAGAGCCGGGGGGAGGGAGGAGGGGACCCCGCTTCCAACCCTCCCGCACCTCGGCCACGGGAAGGGGCTCGCTCCCGGGGTGCCCCCCCGACACTTTTCCGCATGGGGAAACTGAGGCTCGGCCGATATCCCCCGGGGACCCCCGGAGGTGCCGGTGCCACCGTGCGCCACCGGCCGCAGGCGGCGCCGGCCCCCGGGGCTCGGTCCCCTGAGGGGGGGGGGGGGACACAGCAGCTCGGGGTTGCCCCCAAAACACCCTGACCTTCTGCCCCCGGCCTCCCCCAGGGAACGGAGGGCAATTTTTCCAGATGTCGTGGGCGATTACCGCCGCTGTGAAATGAAAAGTTAAGTGGCACCAGGGGAGGGATATTGTTTCGCCCCTCTATAAATTAGCCGGCTCCCGGAGGCGTTTTTACAAGGCTGTTTTCCTCGGCGGCCCTAAACAAGTCGTGTTGGTGATCCGGGGCCGAGCAGGTGGAGTTTAGCCATGCTAGGGCCACGAAGCCAGTGCAGGACACGGTGTGTGCCCTGATGTCCCTCTTGGATGAGCCCCTTTTTCCACGCACAGCATCCTCTGAGCTTTGGGGTCTGCTCCCTGCGCTGTTTGCCCCCGCGGCCGGCTATGTGCCAATCCTTTTTCTCCTCTCCTCTGGAACATAAACACGAATTAACTCTAAGATAGGAACAAATGAATCATATTGAGTGCTCAAAATGCTGTCCAAGCCTACCTTCTCCCCTGGAGAGAACAAAACAGCAGAGCTCCCATAAATCTGTCTGGAGATAGCACGAGTGCTGTGCTTTTACACGGGAGGCATACTGTGTATCCTCTGCCTCAAACCACGCACCTCACATCCCAGCACTGCCTTCAGTCCCAGCACCCGGGCTGTCCCCCTAAACCCCTCCCAGCTTCCTTTTGCCCAAACCCTCGATTTCTGTCCCATAAAACAGAGCCGACACTTCGACACCTAAGGAAAGCCGCGTGCGCAGAAGCGTGCAGTGCTTTATCGCTTGGACATGGACTTTAGGGCCATGATTTTTTGCAAGAAAGTGGCCTACAATGTAGGTGGATCTTCAGGAAATGTGGTTTTTGGGAAATGTGTTGTTATTTTCCGAGGGGCACAGCACCAGTGCTCAGCACCAAGACCCCACCGTAAGCCAAGAGCGGCACGGAGGCCAAACAGCTCCGCAACTGCGCTGCCGCTGCTCTGAACTCAACGCTCAACCAGCTAGAAATATTTCCCTGCCTGGCAGATTATTTTTGCTATTTCAATTATTAATTTTTATTGTCTTCCTCGAGCGCCGCTCGGCAGTAAATCGCAGAAACCACCCCGGCTCCAGGTGGAAGAAACCAGCCGCGGACACTGCGCTCCCACACTTCGCCGGGCGGAGAGAGAGGGGAAGAATTATTTACGCTTTGTTTGTATTATTTGCTGTTTGCTAGCTCTCGCCTAGCCCCACCCCGCCATCTGCTTTCAGAGCTGTGAAGAGAAAAATGGATTTAACAAGCCTTTCTGGTGCGTTTGCCCCTCTGCGGTCAGCGCTTTCAAGTGGAGCTCCTCGAGCTCGTGGGCTTTCGGGGTGGAGTTGCCACGGAAGCCACCCCAGGAGCTCCTCTCTGCTGCAAATACACAGTTTTAATGAAGTCCATAGGTAGAAGAGAGCTCGTCTTCTTGAAGGACAGCTCCAGAATCCCAGGGGAAGAGCACCCGTGGTGGGAGCACCTCTTGCAGCCCCTCTGCTCCCCCCTTTTTCTGCTCCCCCTCCGGGCGCTGAAGCCTCACGCGGCCGAGAGGAGAAATCGGCCAAGCAACTGTGGGAAAACTGAAACAAAATATTTGGCAAATCAATGCACAAGATAAATAAACCATGCGACTGACAAAAGTAAATAAATCACTGGGGTTTGTCCGGGCTCTTTACAAGACAGCTATTGTAAACCTGGGGCTTGCAAAAACTTCATTGAGCCAATCTTACGACTGAGGTATCACATTCAGGCTCTGAAATAGCAAGAGATCTTGGAAAACTGGCAGGGACTCAATGCCATGTTTGCTGCCTGACACCTCGGCGTGCATTTGCATTGTATTTCCCCGGTTTTCTTGCAGGAGGGGCCTCGAGCAGCGAGGGAGAGGAGAACAAAGCAAAGCAAAGCGCCGCGATGCTCCCAGTCCGGTGGTTACAGAGGCCAGGCGGTTTTGCCAAAACCCCTGGTGTGCCAAGCCCACTGCTGGCACCAGATGGATGAGCCAACTCTGACCTTTATTCACCTGTTTAGCTTCCAGCCCCGGTGATGTCCACGCATTTTCTCAGGCATTTGAAGTTAAGAGCCTGGCTACGGCTCTGCCTGATCGGGGCTTCTCCCTCCAGCAGCAGCAGCTGTCGCATCGGAGACAGGACTGTAATTTTTCAGTGTCCTTTGAAGATTTTTCCAATTTTAACAACTCGCGGCACAGGCAAACGAGCTGCTTTTTGGCTGGGCTGAGTAATTCCGCAAAGGTCTCTCATTTATTGCAAGTTATTGCCTCCCCGGGATGACTGTACAGACGCTCCTGCTGCACTCAGCATTTTTACGCCGGCATCTCTCTGCTGGTTGACCCCGGAGCATTTCCCTTCCCAGATATTCTTTATCACAGCTCTCAGCCAAGACTTTATTCTTTGGCGGGGCCCCGGTGGCTGCAGGGCAGGTGCTTGGCGCTGCTGCAGGTGCCTCGATTGTGCGCCGGGGTGCGCACGGTGCAGCAGCCCCGGGGACCCAAAATCCGTGGGGAAACGCATCGGCAGCTCCTGGCTCTACCTCTCACCAGTGGGACAGTGCTCACCCGAGCAGGAAACCTTCAAGATCTGAGGCCAAGCCTTCAAAAAGCAAATAAAATTGCTGCACGAGCACCCTGAGCAAAAGCAGAGCCCCAACATTAACCAAGGGGAGCGAGGGGCCCCGATCCTGCTGGGGCTGGCCCCCATTTCCCTGCTCTTTCCCCCCGTGCTCCACCAGCTGGTTTTCCTGCTCTGAAGCTCTCCATCTCTGATAAGCTTTAAGACATGTTTTAATGTGTGTTTTTCTCCCCCCCCACCCCCCTTTTCTCTTTCAAGTTAATCCCTCTCGGTGGTTCCTGACATTGTCAAATGGCTTTTGTGTCCTGTCAGAAACCCTCTTGATGTAGCTACGGAGCAGCTGCTAACAAGTTGCCCCTGGGATCCCACATCCACGAGGCTGTCTGCCCGGATAATGATTTTCTAATAAGTAAATCTATTAATGAGGGCTGGGGGGGGGGAGCGGAGCAGTGTCGGGCACCCCTGGCCCGGTGAGATTTGGGTGCCGTGGGGGCTGCAGCATCACCGGAGAGGCTCAGGGCTGCCTCGTGCTGGGAAGGGTACCGATCCCAGATTTGTTCTCCAAGGAGGGAACCCAAGCAGCCGGTCCCCTCCTCACCACATCAGGACGTCGGCTATTCCACAGCTGCTCTTTGGGTTTGTCCCAAGGCTTGGGAGCTACTGGGATCCACGCTTTTCTCAGCAGCACAGCCCTAAATCTTTGACATTTACGGGTGTTGACCCATAAATGCTGTGCCCCCCCCGCCCATGCCGTGCCCTGCAGGATTTGCAGCGAGCTCGGCACCGCTGCAATCGAGGAAAAGACATCGAAGGTGCTGGGGCTGGGAATGGAGAGCAGGGTGAGGAGATCCCCGGTCCCTGCTGCTTCTTTTTTGGTTAAGGATTTTGTTTTTTGATGCAGGAGCAGCCTGCTGGCTCTGTGCTTCCCCAGGCTCACAAGGATGGGTTGGAAAAGCAGCTGAGCACCGTGCACACAGGTGGCATCGCAACCGATTTTCGGTGGCCATGAGTTCGGGGGCTTCACCCAGCAAGCTCCGAGCCGGGAGGTGAAAGTATCCAGTGAACCACAGTGACTCTTTTAATTGAAAAGGGGGGGTGGAAAAACCACGCAGCAGAAAGCAAATCCGGTGTGAACTTCGGGGCAAATGATCCTCCATTATCAAATCCCATCTTAAAAAGTGCACGGGGCTAATTGAATTACGCTCAGCTGGATTTCTGGGTAGCCATGAAGGCCTCTTAATGTGGATTGATGGCATAAATCTGTGCTCCATTGAGGAAAAAAAAAAAAAAAAAGTGAACGCTGGCCCCTGACATCTATCTTTCTTTCCAGAAATCCCATCTAACTGGACGTCTCCCTAGGCCACTTCCCAGAGAAAGATGTCTCTATCCATTACCCCCGACACGCAGCAGCGAAAGGAAGCGAGGGCCGCTCACATCTAATTACTCCCACTCCCGGATTTATTACGATCATGCCAGGATTAATTGGGAAAGTAAAAATGCTTCGTTGGGTGATCAATCTCCTCCGAGTTACTTACCTTGTCACTCGCTAATAACTGTAAAATAAAAATGCCCCTCTCCGCTGCATCTCGGCAAATGGATTCCTATAATACATTGCTGGGAATCTTTAAAAGGCATTTGAAAGCAGTAAGGAGACAAATTGGATTAGCTGGAGAGAAAGTGCAACCCAAGCATTTTTTCCCCCCGTTCCTATAAGGCACAAGTTTCCCCTCTCCAGGGCTGCAGGTAGCAGCTTTGCAGTCCTAATGTGTTGCCCTATATCAGGGTGCCTGGGAGGGTGTTCGGGTCCTTGGCACCCTGCAAGTTTTGGCTCAGCCCCTCGTGCAAGGAATATTTGCCAGTAACCCAGCCGTAACCTTCCCAAAATGCTGTCCGAGAGAAATATCCCATTTTCCCATTTCCCGTGCCACCGGAAAACCCAGAGCCACCACAAAGCCCCGCAGCTTTGGGGAGCCCTCCGTCACCAAAAAGCCATTACGGGCTCTGGGAAGCAGGGGCTGGGGCTGAAAGGGAAGAGATTAAGATTCCAGGCATGCAGGATATGGGGCTTTTTTTTTCCTTTTTTCCCCTTTTTTTCAAGGAGCGAGGATCCAAGGTTTTAGAGCTCCGTCGGAGGGCACTTGGCAACCTTTCCAGGGCTGCTGGTGGATGGGTTTTCTGCTCGGGTCCCCTCGGTGCTGAGCACCCAGCACCCAGGTCTGCATCGTGCCGGACCTGGGAGGGGGACCCAGCCCTCCTGCCTTGCGGTTTCCCACTCCCCTAACCCCATTTCCTAGCTCGAGGAGGGATTTATTGGAGCAGCCACCCCGGGAGATAGAGGCTTTTGTGTTGAGTTTCATCCAAAAGAGTTAATGCAGCTGCTGCTCTTGCCATTAGCGTGGGCAAAAGAAAGAAAGAAAGAAAAAAAAAAGAGACAAAAAAAAAGGCGAAAAGAAAAAAAATAAATTAAATTACCAGCTCTTAAAAGATTTCTTTTTGTATCTGAAAGCCAATTCCTCAGCGCACAGCCCTGGAATAACGGGGAGATGTTGCAGGCTGTGGGTGCCAGCCTAACCTAACCCAGACGCTCGCCTCTGCGTTCGATATTCTGCGCACACGCACGGGGAGCAGGGATTCGGGCTGGGTTAACCTCTTCCTGCTCCTCCAGGGCAAAGCGAGGGGATGGTGGTGGGGCAGAGCAGGACCTCGCACCGCAATAAATGGGACAATAAATGGGATTCCCTGGCCTCCCATCCCCTGGGTCGTAGGCGAGGCACGGCCCTTCTGCTTAACGCTTCCCCAGGGGGAAATGGAGAGGATGGGAGGCACCCAAAAGTGATAAGAGAGGGGTGGAAGAATTAGCCTGAGCAAAACGGGAGAGCAACAGGCCTCTGTGCACGCCTCGTCGTGGTGCTTTGGCACGCCAGCCTGACCGGGGGAATTATTATTTATGGAGCACTGCAAAACTGGAGAGCTCAGCTCCCTTCACCAGCAAAGCAAGAGCGTCTGGAGGGTGCACGAGGGATGCACGTGGAAAATGCACAAGGGGATGCACATGGAGATGAGCGTGGAGATGCACAAGGGGATGCAGAGGAAAACGCCCATGGAAAATGCACAAGGGGACGCACAGCCACTGCAGCAAAAGGTTGAGGGTGACAACTCCCTTCCTGCCCAGCCGCTCGGCTTGCTGCAGGGCTCCGGAGGCGAGCCAAGCAGCGAGCAGAGCCAGGCTGGGGACAGAGCCACCACGCACCGTGTCATCTACCCAGGGCCCGTCAGGGGAACCACATTCCTGCTCCCCTTGGCAGCCACGGGCAGAGCCTTTCAATTAAAGAAAGTGCCTGGCTGAATTGCTGCCTCATCCATTAGGCTCATCTGACTCAGGCGCTCGCAGACTGTCTGCTCGGCGCTGCGCTTCATTTGGGAAATTAGATCCTTTAAAAAAAAAATAAAATAAAATAAAAAATGAAAAAAAAAGCAGAAAGGGAGAGGAAAGGATGAAGTTTGTGCAATGACCCCAGGGTGAGGAACCAAAGCTTGCAGGTGGTTTTAGCACTCTGACGGCTTGGGGAACAGGGGTGCAGTGCCCAAGGAGCAGGAAAATGGGAGGAATTTCAGGAAATCCGTGGAACTGAGGGGATCCAGCAGGAGCTCAGCTCCTCTCCATGATGCTGCCCATCCTCTCTATGCAGGCATTTTCCTTTCTTCCACCTTCCCCACGGGAGGAGCAGCCCAGCCCCGTGCTGGGTGCTGCGGAGGCGCTGGTGCTGAGCCCCGCCGCCCTCGAACCAGACGGAGAAACCAAGTCCTGCTTTTTTTTTTTTTTTTTTTCCCTTTTTTTTTTTTTCCTGCAGTCATAAAAGTTTTCTTTGTTAGGCAATCGCTGGAAAACAGCTGCTCCCAGAGCTGAGGGCTTGTTCAGACACATAATCCTGGCTGAGGAGCCGGGCCGTTCACAAGGGCGAACAGATCCTGCGTGCAGAGCTCAGCGCTCAGCAGCTCCTCGTGGCCTGGCTCTATCTCTGCAGGCACCCTCAGCTGCCAAACGGGAGCCAGGCTGGGCTGGGGAGGGCTGCTGGCTCCCACCACCCCCTGCCAGAGCCCGAAGAGCATCGGGAACAAGGCGCTGGTAGACCTGGGGTTAACCCCGTCTGATTTACTGGGCGGTAAACGAGGTACAATTAAAGGTAAACTTGCCAAAATAGGGCCGAAATGGAGCAGAGCCAGATGTTTTAAGACCAGAGGCTTGGTGGGGGGAGGCAAGGGAAGCTGACTGGCCTCGTTGCTTGTGGTTTAGCCATTTAATTCCAAGCTCAGACCCAGGAGCGAGGATTTACCCCGGGCTTGCTTCTCATCTCGTCGAGCAGGGTTCGCTGCGAGCGATTTCTTCTGTTTGGGCTTTTGGATTGGGTTGGTCAGATCCGCTTTTGGAAACCAGCAGCGCCCTGGATCTCCCCGCGGCAGGCAGGAAACGTCTCCCCCGTGGATGCTGATGGATGCAGGAGAAGCAATGGAGCCTGGCACAGCCCGTCCACTTCTCCCTGGCACGGCCCTATTATTAATAGCATTTACGCTAATTATAGCAAGCACGTCCAAATCAGGCCTGCTGGAGCTAGCCACCATGCAGAAAAGGGCTCACAAACCTTAGAAATCCCCTCCCATCACTGATCCACCTGGGTTACAGGACCCCAAACCACAGCACTCGGCTACACAAAGTCTGAACCCAAACCGATTTTGCCCGCAGCGGCCGGCCAGAAGGAGCTGCCGTAACCAAAAGCAGCTCCAACTCCATCCTGCTGGGCTCCCAGGGCACTTGGCACGAGCCTGCCTCTGTCTGGACAAGAGGAGAAAAAGCTCTCAGAGAGCAAAGTCCCCACGTTTCGCTCCCACCCGTGCCCACCAGGACCTTCCAGCTCATTCCCCCAAACCCTCACCCGGTGCCGGCCCCGGGTCAGCCACCACCACGTTCATTCTTCTCCTTCCTTGCAAGGCTGGAAGGAAATCAGGGCTGAATTTGCAAAAGTGAGACAAGAAAAGAATGTTCAATTAAAAACACAATGCGAGCGGGGCCGGCCCGGGGAGAATTAATACGGTTAAAGTAAAAAGCTGGCTGGAGGCTCTGGCAGCGGGGAAAGCTTCTGTGAAATGAAATGCCATAAACCTCCACCAAGTGGGGAACAATAACGGTGCCAAGATGCAGCACTTGGATATTACTCACCCGGCCTGAGTTATTGAGTGGCTATGGCAGCGGCAGGACCGAGGGGATCGGGTCCTGAGTAACCAGCGGGGCTGTTCGGTGGCAGAGGGGAAGGATGGAGGAGAAATTTGGAGCAGGGAGGGCTGGGGCACGGCTCTCTGCCCGGCTGCCTTCTGCTCCCAGGCTGTGGTTCCCAAAGAGATGAGGCACAGGGGGCTTTTCCAGCTCCTTTGCCCTGTTATAGGGTGACCCTTCTGGGCTCACATCACGCTGGAAGAGAACCGGAGCAGAGCCGGAGCTGCTGGGGGGCCCCATCTCCAATTTTTGGTTCTCTGTGCGCCCTTTGGCACCCGCTAAGCTCCAAACCAAATTGGTGATGGGGTTGGAGAGGTGTCCGAGCATCCCCAGGTGGGTTTATCCAGGCAGGACGTGGCACGGGGCACCCCAACACATCCACCCGAGCGCTCCCACCTCCTGCAGCCTGTGCCGGGTGCGCAAACGGTAGCGCAAAGTGGCCCCTGGCGGAGGAGAGGCGCGGTGCAGAGACCTGCAGCGCCTGCAGCAGCCCCGGCAGAGGGCACGCGTGGGCTGCACAGCCCCCTCCGGGCAGGGGGCTGCATCCCACGGCCCTCCCCTGGGATAAAAACCGGGCTGGGTTGGAAGCTGCCCTTCCTTGAATTGCTTGTGGACACCGGGAGCATCCCTCCGGGCAGAGCGCACCTTGATTTTTTTATTTATTTATTTTTTTTTCCCCCTTAACGCAATCAGAAGCGGTTCTGCTGAAATGAACGCGGTTGCTCGGTGCACGGAGCTGGGTTATTAAAACATCAGGAAGGACAGACAGACAGACAGACAGGCAGGCAGGCAGCAGGAGGCAACCTGGTGGAGGCAATGAGCCGTGCTGCTCGGACAGCTCCGGCTGAGCCTCCCCTCCCTCCGTGCTGCCGGAGCTGCTCGCCGCTTTGTGGAGGGAGGGAGCCCGCTTTATCCAGGTCAGCGCAGAAGGAAAATGCAGCTGAGCTCCGCTTTCAGAAGTCGTTTTGTCCTGAACAGCGGGACAGAGCTCTGGGAAGAAGGTTCCTGCTGGTGCAGTAAGCGCTCGTCACCGCGCAGCTTTGGCGAGGATGCTGCAGGTCGCAGCAGAGGGGAGCCAAAGTACCCCCGGCAGCATTATCCTGTCCCAAAAAAGTGCCCAGTACCTCTGGACACCCTGAGGCACAGGGCAGGCACACATCTACCCTGCAGAGCCCCGAGGAACCAGCAGCAGAGCTCACAAGACACCATCGCAGTGCGTGCCTGCCCCTTGCCAGGGTGCGCGGTGCCCACAGAGAGCACTTTGGGTTGCAAAACACCAACATTTGGCACAAAATACTCTGCTGTCAGTTCCAGA